CGTGGGGCTTGAACTCTGGGCCTGGGTGCTGTCCCTCAGCTCTTCAGCTCAAGGCCAGCGCTCTACCTTTTTTTTTTTTTTCTTACATTTCTTTTTTGAGAATGTTACTTCTTCCCGTGCACTCTCTCAGAGAGGGGGGGGGGGAGGAGGGAGAATAGAAGATCTGTAAATATGAATTGGAAATATCAGTATAAACTTGATTAAATCTCTTAAAAATCCATATTTCCTTTCTCTTCTCCCGAAATGGCCTGGAAGTACTGACAACCTAGTAACAAGTGCACCAAGACGTGCCCTTGAAATGTGCCATTGAAAGGATCAGCTCCCTGGAGAATGGCTTATTTCAGGTATGAGGCAGGAGGTACACAACATAAAATAGGTGAATTATCAAAGACCGTAGAGGTCTGTCAGTAAGACACAGCTACTGAGTGAAATTGCCACTGGGTAAGAAATCAGGAGCCCTGGCCAGGTATAGTGACTCATGCCTGCTACCCTAGTGACTTGGGAGGCAAAGATCAAGGAGGATCATGATTCAAGGCCAGCCCAGGCAAAACGTTCTCCAGACTCCTCTACCAATTCAAAACAAAAGCTGGAAGTGGTGATGCAAGCTAGCCTGGAGAAAAAGTAAGAACCTATTTGAAAAACAACAAACACAGAAAGGACCAGGGGCATGGCTCCAGTGGTAGTGCCTGCCCAGGAAGTACAAGGCCCTGAGTTCAAACCTCCCATTACCACCAAAACCAAAACAAACCCTCAAGCCTCAGTTGGTTTTCTATATACCAGCAATGAAAATCTGAAAAATTAAGACAAAAATATTTCCAATATAGCATCAGAAACAGTATTGATCATTCTAGCTATGTGCATACAATATACTTAAAAAAAGGTATTTAAAATAGATGGGGGTCTCTCAGGAAACAAATGGGTGGTAAGGATAATAGGAAAGATAAATATATTCTATGTATCTATGAAAATGTCACAATGGAGCTAGGCACCAGTAGCTCATGCCTGTAATTCTAGCTAATGAAGAGGCTGAGATCTGTGACTCATGGTTCAAAGACAGCTTGAGCAAGAAAGTCGATAGATTCTTATCTCGAGTTAACTACCAAAAACCTGGAAGTGGAGCTGTGGCTCAAGTAGTAGAATACTAGCCTTGAGCACTAAAGCTCAGGGTTTCAGTGACTAAAAGTTCCTCATCACCATGGAAAGCTGGTCAAGAAAACTGTTGACTGAAATTGTGAAGAGAACAGGGTCTTCAGTCGTCCACCTACTAAAAACAAGGAGAAACCATTGGATAAAAGATGAGAAGTCTGGAGATCCAGGGTATCTCACCTCAGTCTGCTAACACCGAACCCAACCAGCACCCCATTACGATAGTGCAGACTGCCTCCCACTACCCCGCGCCACCCCACGCCAGCTTCTCCTAGAACTGACACAGTCAAGACACTGCCAGTCACTGTGAGCTCCTTGTGGACCATCTCTTGCTGACGTTGGGCATAGGTGACCAGGCACCTGCGGGCCATGTCTGCCTCCAGAGGGGATCCAAAGGGCACAGTCAGAGAGCTGGAGGAAGACAGACTTAAGGCAGCACGCACTGCTCACTCTGCTCCTGCCCCCGACCCCTTCCCTTTCAGAGGCCTGGCCTGGAACGCACCCCCCCACCCCCGGCCAACCTGAGCCCCGCAGCCACCTCCCCAGGGAGGGCTCCAGGCCTTCTGCAGCGCCCTGCAGTCGTGTCAGCCACAGACCAGCCCCTGCCTTCCGCGACGCCCGCTCTGGTTGTGCCTTTGCCCACGGGGTTCACCCGCCACTGGCCTCCGTTCCTTCTCGGGCTGTGGTCACCTTCCTCCGCGCACCCGCAGCAGCCTTCCCTGGCCTTCTCTGCCCAGCCTCGACCCTCCCCCGCCTCGCGCCCTGTGGGAAGGATACAACTCCAGGAGTCGGCTTCCAGGCCTTAGGAACGAGGTGGCGGCATCTCCACTGGCGGCTGGAGCAGGGGGTGCCCGCTCGCCCCGCGGACTGGGGATGGCGAGCACGCCCACCGCGCTCTCCCCCACGTGGCTACTGGGCTCGGGGCTGCCCCATGCACGCCTCCAGGGGTTGCCTGGCCATCCGGTGTGGGGGGTAGGTGGGGAGGGCATGCTGGCTGTCCTCCCCTTCTTTTTCTTTTTGGCATTTTAAAATTGTTATTGTAAAGGCGATGTACGGAGAGGTTACAGTTACATAGGTCAGATAAAGAATACTCATTACCTTATGTAACTGTAGCCCCTCTGAAATCACCCTTACAATAAAACAAATACAAAACAAGATTACATTTCTTAGCTGGACACTGAGGGCTCATAACTATAATCCTCAGGAGTCTGGAATCTGAGGATCAATGTTCAAAGCCAGCCTGGGCAGGAAAGGCCATGAAACTCTTATCTCAATGGAAGAGTGCTTGACTAGAACGTGCAGAGTCTAATGTCCTTCCTGTGCAGTACTATGGATACAAGCAAGGAAGAAAATACAACCCATATTGGGGAGAGAAAGCAATCACAGGAAGACATTGAGTGGAAGAGTCACGCCTGCCTTTACTCTGAGAAAACACAATCATACTTAGGGGAAATCCCATGGCATCTAAACAAATGTTTCTAGACTGCACAGAGCAAAGCTGCAAAACGGTGTGCACTGTACTTTATCTTAGAGTGCCAACTCCTTCCCTAAACATTTTCCCTGGTTTCCCCTGCACTTTTCCTCACAAGGCAAATAAGCCACTGAACCCTTATCTTGGTGTTTCTGGGTAGCTTGTTCTCATGTACAAAAAGCCCTGTTGTGCACGCATGAGTTTTTCTTGCTGTTATTTGGTTTCAGTGGCAAATACTCAGCCGTGCTAAGCAAAACCAGCATTCGGGTAGTTGGGCTCATTTTCTGCAAAGCAAGTATATAAAGAATCCCATCTACCCTATGGGTTTTTAGAATTGGAAAATAAATGTTCAACGAAGTGCATTGCAAAATGTGATTTGGGGCTGGGATGTAACTCAGACACTAGCCTAGCAAGTACAGTGTTATGGGTTGGATCCCCTAAAAAGAAAAGAAAAAAAATAGTTAAAAAAGTCCAACCAAGCCGGGTGCCAGTGGCTCACGCCTGTAATCCTAGCTACTCAGGAGGCTGAGATCTGAGGATCACAGTTCGAAGCCAGCCCGGCAGAAAAGATCATGAGACCCCTATCTCCAATAAACCACTAGAAAACCAGAAGTGGCACTGTAGCTCAAGTGGTAGAGCGCTCGCCTTGAGCTGAAGAGCTGAGGGACAGCATCCAGGCCCAGAGTTCAAGCCCCATGACCAAAACAAAAAAAAAAAAGTCCAACCAAACAAAAGCCTTTAAAAGTGTGATTTGTTTGTATCTTTTTGCTACCACTGTGTGTGTGTGTGTGTGTGTGTTGGTCATGACGCTTGAACTCACAGGCTGGGTTCTATCCCTGAGCATTTTGCCCAGGGTTAGTGCTTTCCACTTGAGCCATACTTCTACTTCCAGATTTTTGGAGGTTAATTGGAGATAACAGTCTCATGGACTTTCCTGCCCAGGATCGCTTTCATCCTCAGATCTATACCCTCTGCAAAAGATTACAGGTGCAAGACACCAGTGCTCTGCTCAATAACATTTTTTTTTGTCAAAATGATGTACAGAGGGGTTTCAAATGTGTTGCCCCTTCCCTCAATTTTCTACTTTCCCTCCTCCCCAAACCTCCCCAAATTGTACCGATCTCTGTTTCATTGGTTCCCTCCTTGTCCTTTGTCTCACCATTCTGTTGTTCCCCTTCCCTTCCCTAACTCAAATAAATGTATATACAATACCAGGGTACCAAAATCAAATGCAGTAACAACAGCAGATATGTCATAGGAGGAAGAATATACACAAGAAACAAAGAATCATATAGTATGATAACATGTTTTTGAACAATTGTTAGAATGAGGAAAGAGCATGTTAAGCCCAAATGTAATCTTAGTCCTTCAAAAATTATGTGTTCTGTGTTATAGATACACACGTAATGCATGAATAGAACTCCTGAAGGCAATCCAACCTTTTCAAATGTTGGCATCTCAGTGAGACAGTCAGAGAGGCCTGATTTCACAGCCACATTTCCTGTTTTAACAATAAGCTATTTAATTTTATGCTCTCATTTCCCATTTAAACCTTTATTATGCTGTCAAAACAAGGGGGAGTTTCTGCTTTATTTTCATTCAAACTTAAAAAAAAATATTTTTACTGCAGATTGAACCCAGGGCCTTGCATTTGGTATCTTGGTGCTCTGTCACTTACTTGAACCATGGCTTTGGCATTGATTTTTTTTAAGTGATTATGTTTAAGAGTCTCTTGAACTTTTCATCCCAGATTGGCCTTAAAAACTGTTATCCTTCTGTTATCAGCCTCCTCATAGCTAGGGTTACACGCATGAGCAATGGGTAACCGGCAACTCCTTGTTTTTCTTCTTTTCCCCCCCTAGTTATGTGCTGTCCCAGAGCTTCTTTGTGCTCACAACTAGCTCTCTGCTCTTGGCTTTTTTTTCCTGAGTAGTTTATTGGAGGTAAGAGTCTCAGAGAGTTTTCTGCCCAGGCTGGCTTGGAATTGTGATCCTCAGATCTTAGCCTCCTGAGTAGCTAAGATTACAGGCATGAGCCACTGGCAGACAGGCAACCCTTTCTTCTTTACATACTCTCCTTTAAGTTCAGTTTTCCCATGGTCTCTGATTCTGTCTTTTGCTTTTGTTTTCCAACCAAATGTCTGGCTTGGTCCCTGAGAAAACAGCTGCTGGTCTCTTGGCTGATGATCCAGGGATTTTGCACACAGGATGTAGAAAAATGACACTTTTGGGGAGGGCACACTTTTTGAACAGCAATTGTATGCTGTTGTATTACAGCTTTAAAATGAATAGAAAAGCTGAGCACTGGTGCAGCACACTTGTAATCTTAGCTAGTCAGGAGGGTGAGTTCTGAGGATTGCAGTTTGAAGCCAGTCCTGGCAGGGGAGTCCATGAGATTCTCTCTTTTATTTTATTTTATTTGTGAAGATACTGTACAGAGGGGTTACAATTACATGGGCAGGATAATGCGTACATTTCTTACCAAGCATTGCAGCCTCCTCCTTTTGTTTACCCTTCACATCCCTTCCCAGCCTCCCCCCTCCCCCCCATCCCAACCTTTCTCCTTCCCCCCCTTCCCCCCCCCCCCCCCCCGCACCAACGTTGTAAAGCTCGTTTTGGACATGACAACTTTCTCTCTTTTATTTTTGTGCTGGTTCTGGGGCTTGAACTCGGAACTTGGGCACTGTCTCTGAGCTTTCATGCTCAAGGCTAGTGCTCAACGACTTGAGCCACAGCTCCGCTTCTGGCTTTTTCTGGTAGTTAATTGGATATAAGAGTCTTATGGATTTCTTGCCAGGGATAGCTTTGAACCATGATCCTCAGATCTCAGCATCCTAGGATTACAGGCTTGAGCCACTGGCACCTGGCCCTGAGACTCTTATATCCAATTAACAACCACAAAAAATGCTGAAACTATTACTCAAGTGGTAGTGTGCTAACCTTGATAAAAATACTCAGGGACAGTGCCCACGCCCTGAGTTCAAGCCCCAAGATAAGCACAAAAAATGAATAGAAAAGTAAATATTGAACTCACTAGTTATATTTTGTACAATCTAGTTTGATGAAGTAACTAGGGAGCCAAAGACACAGAATTCCATAAACTCTTATTTATAATAGGGAAACTGTTGAACAACCACATAATTGATGTCCACATTTATTAAATTTCACAATTTTTTAAGAATCTTTAAGAAAGAAGCCCATTTGTTAAGTAAAAACAATTAAGAGCTGGGTTCCAGTGGTCACATCTGTAATTCTGGCTGCTGAGGAGGCTGAGATCTGAGGATCATGGTTCAAAGCCAGATTGGCAGGAAAGTCTGTGAGACTCTTATCTCCAGTTAACCATCAAAAAATCAGAAATACAACTGTGGCTCAAGTGGTAGAGCAGTAGCCTTGAACAAAAAAAGTTCAGGGGAAAAAAAAGTTCAGGGATAACCACCCAAGTCCTGAGTTCCAGCCTCAGGCTGAGTTTCAGCCTCAGTTTCAAGAATAAAACTGTAAATATACACAAATACTGATTTATCTCTTGGATACTACTCCAGCATTTGAATTTCAGACCCTTCCCTCTGACACAAGGACAAAGGAACATAAATATAACAGAAGAGACTGAAAAGACACTCAGATGCATATTAGTAACCTAGTTTTATTTTCCACCAAAACCAATGTTTAATCACTCTTTCCTCAGTAACAGAAAATGAAAAGGCCAATACAGATTATTGGACTCCCATAACAAAGTGTCAACTACTGCATGGACTGACTTCCATGGGATGACTTAGGAAGATTACTAGGTTAGGCTTAGCCCCCTTTTCCTGGAAAAAAGCCTAGTAAAAGTAACAGGGCCAAGTGCTATATGCCTTGTATCAAGAAGGAAAGCTGGTCCAGACAGGAGGTGATGGAAATTTGAAGCTGGTCAGGATCACCACTAATCAGTTGGCTGAAAGTGAGGATAGAAAGGTGCAGGTAGTTAATGGCTTTTTGGTGGTAAAATTGAAGAGTCTCAGGAACTTTTTCTCCCCAGCTGGCTTTGAACTGAAAGCTTCCCATGTCATCCTCCTATTAGATGGGATTATAGGCATGAGCCAATAGTGCACTCCTAAAAGGGGAATTTTTTGTCTCTTAGAAATAAAAGTGATACTTAGAAAAAGTAAACACCTAAGTTTTAAGCCAGAAGTTTAGAATGTGTGTTCGGATGTGGGAAGGAGTTTCTTTTTTCCTAGAACTTACTAAATGGATAGCTAGTATAGCCCAGATCTGATTAGTTTCGAAAATTTGCTATGTTGTAGGTTATCTTGAGTGGAAATTGGACAAAATGCTTATGCGTTAGATAAAGGTTTCAAAATTAGGACACTAGCCAGATGCTGGTTGCTCACAATTGTAATCATAATCACTCAGGAGCTTGAGATCCAGAAAATCTTGAGAGGCTCCACCTCCAGAATAACCAGCAAAATACTGGAGGAGATGTGCTTCAAATAGTGGAGAGCCAGCTGAGAAAGCAAGGTGAGGGGAGAGGGTAAAGGAAATG